TCCTGATGTCACCAAGGAGCTTTGAGATGCTCCTTCTCTGCAGCCCCTTCCCCTCTCTAGAAGGCTCCAATCTAATGCTTCAGATTCTTCCTGTATGAGATGAGGTTGAAGGGTAGCTGGGGCCGGATCATGCAGGGTCTATAGGCTATGTAAGGACAATGACTGTTGTCTTGAGAACAATGGAAAAGCATAGCAAGGTGACAACGGGAAGGTACATGATCAAATTTGGGTCTGAAAATGTCCCCCACTGTGTGAAGAACAGACAGTAGTGAAGTGTTGGCTTCAGGAATGTGAACTAGTGCAGTTACACAGGGCTCTGTTGCTCAGAAGGGGTTTGCACTTGGGGCTTAATGCTCTGTGGTTGCCGTCTTGAAAATCTTACTAATGTTATCTTTGAATTTGTGTTTTGTAAGTGAAGTCTGATGCGACAATGAGGCACGCATCAAGGGCTCGGAGCCTCGGCTCATGTGTGATCCTGCCTCCTACTAGCTCCCCACTCCTGCCTAGCAACCACTGCCACCCTCTGCCCCCAGCAGGGACCTGGGTGCAGGTGTGGGGAGGCTCAGGGTTGCCTGGTGGCATCTCAGGATGGAGCATGGTGGTGGCTGTCCCTGCCCTGGGCTGACAGCACCATGCCACATTTGGCAGGTGACTCAAGGGGGTGAGTCTCTTGCCCACTCCTCACCTACATACCTAGTGCATCCTGGCATGAGTTTGTGATACCCTTGGGGATTGCCATCCACCATGGGTAAGGGAGATGCCTGGCTCGACTTTGCTGCCCCCAGCTGGGGAATGCAATCTGGTGGCTGGCGGAAGGACAAACCCAGAAGCTGCTAGTCAAGACGTGGAGAGTGCTTGTCCCACAAGTATACCCTGCCCAAAGGAGTGGAAACATTAAATAGCAAATAAAGCACCATGACAGGTCGAGAGAACATGGCAAAGGAAAAAGCTTTCTATTTTAATAGTTTAATGGCAATTTTTTCCCTTTTTTAGTAAGAGGCCCCACATTTTCATTTTGCATTGACCTCACAAATTATACAGCTGGTCCTGGTAGCGAGCAATCGATGAGATCAAGCATGTAAAATACATGCAGGCCCTGCAGGTATTAATACTCCCTTAGTGGTGGCTAGCACTATTGTTTTTGTTGCTTATTTGGCTCAAAAGAATGGATGAAGTGGCTTCAGGAGCTGAGCCCTGCCAGGTGACTGGCTGTGGTGATTGATGTTGTAAAAACTGATTTCACATTTTATTCTCAATCCTTGGACCTACTACTTTTTGAATTCTTCAAGCAGATGTGTTCAAATCCCATGCAAAACAGGATGGGGCTCTGCCTGCACAGGGGGACTCCCCCTTAAAAAAAGAGTGACAGCCTGGCCTGAGGTGCAGCAGCCCAGACCTCAAGGCAAATTGTGTTTTGAAGCAGCTGGAACAGTCGTTAAAAAGCTATGATTTTCAGGACTGGATTTCCCTCCCCGGGGGTCTGGTGAAGGAGGGAGGCTGGAGAACAGTTCCCTTTTCTGGGAGGGACACTCAGATGTCTCCATCCTGCTCCTCCACCTCCCCGATGTCCCACCAATCCATCCCCCCACCCCAGTTGCCCCATCCAGGCCTCATCCCTCTCTCAGAGTTATTACAACACCCTCTTCCGGTCTCACCTCCTCTGAGCCACTTCGCATCCGGAGAGATCTTTCTAGAACCTGTCTGTGGACCCCTCAGGGCGGAGACTAGGTCTACATCCTCTCTGAGCCCTAGCCCCAGCAGGACCTGGCAGGAGTTAGTGCCCAGCAGTGTTTGTGGACCTGGTTGAGAGAAGGCTGTGGTGGTCACGGTGGTTGGCTCCCAACATCCATAACACCCCAATCAAGGGATCAGGGGAGGCCAATAATGGTGAAGTATGAGTATGTGACTCACTTCTGGCCAACGAGACACAAGGGAAAGTCTCCTGGGAGGCTGGGGTGGGGAGGACTTTGGAGAAAATGAGACACAAGGAGAGGTGTCCCTTCTCTTCCTGTAGATGTAGCTGTGTGTGGAGTTGTAAGCCAGAGCTGCTGCAGCCTGAGGAGGAAGATAGGAGATGGAGGAAAATCACAGAGAAACTGAGCTGGGGACCCAATGTACCCCACCCAGAGGCCACACTGCATCCAGATCCCTTGTGTGGGTGATAACACACTTCCTCCATGCCAGACCCTCTGGTTGTGTGTTCCTTGCTGCCAAAGCATCCTTAGCGGGTGCAAATAACACAGTGAACTTGGAAGACCATGTACCAGGGCTGGACTCTCACCCAAAAGCACCGCCAGCCCCAACAGCCTCCCTGGACTCAGTTTTTCCACTTGTAGATCAGGGTGAGATGTTCTGGAGGCAGAACCGGAGAAAGAAAGGGGGAAACCCACTGTTAAGAGAGGGCTGTCGGTAAAAGATAGCTGTGGAGGTTAAGAGAATGCGTGGGCTTTGGCATCAGACAGATCTGGGTCCGAAGCCCAGCCCTCTGCTTACTGGCCGCCAGGCCTTAGGTGAGTCACATAAACTCTTTAATCACTAGTTTGCTCCTCTGTGAAGTGGGGATGATGATAGTGTGTACCCCACAGGATGGGGTGAGGGCTAAGCGCGGTGACCCATGTAGAAAGCTTAATGGTGCTCCCAACACTTGGCAAGTGCTCCCAAGCTGACTGGCGGTTCTCGTGGCACAGGCTTGGGAGCTGCATAAGCTGGGGTGGTGGGGAGGGGAGGAGGCAGATTTCTCTGTGGCGGAGAACTTGAGAGTCTCCTTAGATGCCTCCCATTACTCCTTCCCCAATTGCTCCAGCCCACAACCAGCATGCCATCCGTCTGGGGCTGCCCTGGCTGGACCAGAGCAGTTGGGAAATGAAGGCCTCATATGTGGGGGCCTTGAGGGATGGGAGAATTTGCCCAGGTCAGGAAGATCAAGGAAGGCATGCCAGGAGGGAGGCTGGGGGACCAAGGGGCAAAGGTGTGGAGGTAGGGATGGGAAGGTACCTTTGGGGAAAGGGTAAAGTCCTGTTTGAAGTGGAAATTCGGGGGGATGATGAAAAGAACCCCTGGAGAGGCAGGGGAGGGGGCCTGGCCATGAAATTTTCTGCCAATAAGAGGGTTTGTTGCTGTTAGTACCACTGAGTGAATTTTAACTCCTAGTGACCCTGTGTACAGCAGAGCAGAACCCTGCCTGGTCTTTTTGTGCCTTCCTCTCACCTTCCAGCACTATGTCAGACAATGCTCTGCTGCTGTTCATAGGGTTTTCATGGCCAATTTTTTCGCAAGTGGGTGGCCAGGTCCTTCTTCCTTGTCTGTCTTAGTCTGGAAGCTCCGCTGAAACCTGTCCACCATGGGTGACCCTGCTGGTATTTGAAATACTAGTGGCATAGCTTTCAGCATCACAGCAACACGCAGCTGCAACAGTATGACAACCGGCAGACAGGTGGTGTGGTTCCCTGACAGGGAAACAAATCTGGGCCACAGAGGTGAGAGCGACGAATCTTAACCACTAGACCACCAGGGCTGGCTAATAAGAGAGTGGGAGCTTTCTATTAACAGGGGGTTTCTAGTCTGCCTCCAGAACTAGAGGTATCACCCCATTTGATAGGTCACAAAACTGAGGCCAGGGAGGCTGAGTCAGTGCAATCAGAAGTGGTTATGCCATGGGGATGAGGTACAGCCGCAATACTTAGCCTTCTGGGTTTAAGGTGATATTTACACCAGAAAAACCGACTGGAGTGCCTTCAATGCTGAGGGTGTGTATTAACTCAAACCCGAGGATTCTGGAGGTAGGGGACTCCCAGGGGCAGCCCCACTGGTCTGCAATTCTCCCTGATGTGTTCTGTCTTGGGCAGCTATTTCAGAAGCTTGGGTGTGCCCCATCTGTAACCCTGGGCACACATAACTGGCACTTGGGAGCTTAGCTCTCTTCTGCAGCAGCTCTCATCCGTCTTACCACCCTCCGTCAATGGTAGGGGAGGCAGTGGCAAGGGTGGTGATTTGTGGACAAGCTTGACTCATCCCTTCCTGCCAACCCACCCTGGGATCAGGCCCCCCTGCCGGCACCTTCTGCTGAGTGGGCAGGCCCTAGCTCCTCAGAGCTGTGTCTGGGGCTCCAGCCCAGGGATCTTCCCAAGGAGATACCAGACAGTGACCCCAGCACCTGCCCAACCAAACAGAAATTCCAGTAATGTTCTCAACACTGTCTCCTTCCCAAAGACTGGGGGCTGGCAGATGGGGAAACTGAGGCTCAGAGAGTTGAAGGGTCGATTAAGGTCCCTCAACCACTGAAGGGTAAGGCCCAGACAAAACAAAAACTGGGGCTTCAGTTTGGGTTTCCAATGCCTTTATAATCCTGTCTCTCTCGGTCCAACCACATTCTTCCAGCCTGAAGACTCCAACTTCAGAGCGTGGCTTCTTGCCCCAGAGTGTCTACTCTGGAGCTGGGGGGAGGGGAGCAGTGCCCAGCAGGCCTCAGGCTGTTCTCCCTTGGTTAGTTACCGGCTCATCCCACCTCTGTGCTCCCACAGCCCCCAGCCCACAGCTGTGTCTGCCCCCAGACCGTGAGCTCCTTGAGGGTATGACATGGACTGGGGCCCTGAGCAGCCAGGGTTTGATGAATGAGAGGGATGTCCTGGGCCTGGGTAAGCCCCTCCCAAATGGGTGGGTGAGGGGTGGAGAGTCTAGCATCTCTGGGCCTGGTCTGGAGTGGGGCTGGGTGGTGGGCAACAGCACCTGGGTTCCTGCTTCCCTCCTTGCCCACACCTTCCCTGGGCCTCAGGCTCCATAAGTTGATGGCCTCTGAGAACGGCCAGCTAGGACATCAGAAAGGGGCAAGTGGAGGCAGGCAGCAGGGTGGCAGGTGGCAGGCGGGGCTGCGCAGGGGAGCACAGCAGCTCTACTTCCTGTGGGCGATGGCCCTGGTGCCTGCCCCGGAGGAGGTTGCACAAACCTTCCTGCTCAGGCCTCAGGCTGCCTGCCCACCTGGCCTCTGCACCAGCCTGCCTCTCCCGCTGGCCACTCCTCTCAGTCCTGCAGCCTGGGCTGTGTCCTCATCCCTGCAGGGCTGGCCAGGGGCCGGGCCGGACACCGGGACCCGCCCTCCCATCCCTGGGCACCCCGCCTTCCTCATTTTGCTGCTGATTCTAGCCCCAAACAAAATAAGTTGAGTCCTCTTCCTCCCGCAGCAGCGCGTCCCTGGCTTGCAGCTGCCTTCTGAGGCACTGCAGACGGCGCCGGCCAGGGAGGGGGGGGCCTGGGCCAGCCCTGCCGGGTCTGGGACGGTGCGCCTGGCTCCTGGCCCTGTTCAGCCCTGCCTGTGGCAGGAGAGTGAGCTTTGCCGTGGCAGACGCCTGAGGATGATGCCCCAGCTTCAGTTCAGAGATGCCTTTTGGGTGAGTGAAGACGGCTGGGGCTTTGAACAAGTGAAATGGGCCCCGGGGGAGGCGGGCAGCTTGGCTGAAATTTCCTGTGGCAGTTCATGGGGATGTGGCTCCAAGAAGGGGGTTTTCTTATAAAAAATAGTGGTTGGTTTTTTGTCTTGGAAGATTTTTGTCTCGGAGGTGACCTGGGCTACTGTCCTTTCTGAGTTGTAAGATGAAGGGGGTCCTAGCCTGGGCCACTGATTTCTCTGCAAACTCACCACGGTGGATGAGGGATCTCCTCTGTGCTCCCAGGGCTGGGTGACCCTCTCTCCACAGCAGGATCTTTTTAGAGGAGTCTAATGTATGGGTGGGAGTTTGAGGCGAAGGAAGGCGGGGGTCGTGGGTTTGGGGACCAGACAAACTTGAACTTGGATCTTCTCCTACTTGTAAAATTTAAACAAGTTATATTTAAACTCTCTGAGTTTCATTTTCTCCATCTATATAGTAGAGATAAATATTAATAAACCTACCAACTGAATGGAAGGATTAAACAAGGCGATCTAACGTCATCAAGTCCTGGCAACTTGCTGGCATGTCAAATGGTAATTCTCATCCCCTCACCCACCCTTCTTCCTTGAACACCTGAGGGGTCCTCTGAGGAGGCAGCAGGGCTGGGTGATTCCTTGCTTGCTTTCTTAAATTCAGCACAGGCACAAATCAAGTCCTTTCCCCGTGAAATTATGGCCCCTGGCGGGCTCACAGAGGTGAAATGGCTTGGCGCAGGCCACACGGCCTGCAAGCCCCAGATCCCCTCAGCTTTTTTCCAGCTGTCTCTCAACCTTCCCGCCTGCTCCTCAAGCTCTCGCTTTCCCTAATGGCTCACTGGGAAAGTGGAGACCTCTCTGGTTAGAGTTGAGGAATGTGGCTGTCCCGAGGGTGCCCCTCCTCCAGCCCCGCAGAGGACTCCTTGGCCCTCTGCTCAGCCAGCTCAGCCTCAGCCAACAGCCTGCCCTCCCTGGGCCCTTTCCTGGGGCCTATGGCCAGGAGGATGAGAGCTAATGAGCCTTCCTTCTCTTCCGGGCCACGCTCTGCTTGAAGCCTATGGCCAGTGTGTGAGTGGCCTGCTTCTCGCTGGCACTGACTGCCCAGTGGGCAGTGGGCTGCCTGGGGAGGGCACCCTGTGCCTCTCTGGGCCTCCATTTCCCCATCTCAAAGAGGGGCTGGAACCAGCCTGGAGAATCTGATGGAGGCAGACCTGGCTCGGCCCATCCCAAGTACCAGGCTGGCAGGTGTGGGTGGGTGGCTGCAGTGGGGGAAGACGGGGGGTGGTGAGTCACCACGTCACACCTCTGACTTTAAGTGTGAAGTTCAAGTAGGGCCTGGAAATCCAGGGTGCTCCGTAGCCCAGGGCAGGCCAGGAGATCCTAAGTGTCTTACCTCCAGGACATCTGGGCCCATCTTCCCCGGGGGAAGAGCTGGGGCAAGGAGCAGCCTCATGGCAGGATCTGGGCAGCAGGGGATGGTATATGAGGGAGCAGGGTGTGGCGGCAGCAGCAGCAAGAAAGCAGCCTACCTGTGGTAGCTTCCTGAGTGGCAGCCCGCCCAGGCTTGCCCCACCTCTGAGCCGCTGCGGGCTTCATGGCCTCCGGATGCCTCCTCCCCTCCATTGCTGACTCCTTAGCCCTGGGTTAGGGGTACAGCTTCCCTGGGGAAGGCCAGAGCAGGGAGGGGGAGAGAAGTGGCCAGTGGGAGCCTCTCACACTGAGCCTAGGCAGATGCCCCAGAAGGTCACTGTCAGCATCACTGCTCCCAGGGCTCTGAATTCTAACACTTCCTCCTGAGGCTCAGCCCAGCTCAGTCCATGAGGAAAACTAAGACTATTGAGCACTACAGAGGTGCCAGATGCTGTTCTCAGGACCGTGTATCTATCTACTCATTTAAAGCGATGAAGTGGATGCTATCCTTATCCCTGTTACTAAGAGGAGGAAGTTGAGGCACAGAGGGCTTAAGTAACTTGCCCAAGGTCACACAGCTGGGCTTAAACTGACATGTCGACTCCGGTGCTGGGGCTTGCACCTGGGGCACTTCATTCTCCCTCAATTAACATAGCAGATCGCTGGGTCTTTGGGCCGCATCAGTGAAATGGGGAGAAAAACTCTGTCCTTCCTACCTCCCAGAGAAGTAAGATCAGACGAGGTTGATAGGAGTATTTTGAAGCTCAATTTACAGACATACTGACTTAACTGCAGTCAGGTGTTAGGGACAGAGCCCAACCTCCCCCTCCCCCGTCTGCCCCCTCCCCCAGCCCAAGGCAATGCCATTGGACCCTGCAGCTTGGCGGCACACTGTTTGAAAATGACTAGTCTTTAATAGTGGGAGGAAGCCCCTGAACGAGAAGGATCATGTCTGGTGCCGTAGCGCTGCAGTTGTCTGGCAACCTCAAATCCAGAACACAGGTGAGAGCCAGCCCTGTTTCTGGCACTAGCTCTCAGAAAGGGGGCAAACATGGTGGTTTCTGAGAAACTAAGAGCTTGCACTAAAGCACATACACTTTATTCACGAGATGGCTCATAGCTTTTAGTTAGAGCCTATGAACCCTGATTTTACCTACAATTTTAACGAGCTTGGTCAGGTGCTCTTTTAACCTATAGATGCAGCGATTAGGAGGGGTCTACATGGAACCTGATATACAGCTGGTGATTGATGAATGTTGGTGGACCCGAGCTGTCAGAGACAGTTTCACAGGTAGCTGTAGCCTGATAGCAAGGGAGGAGACAGAAACGTTGTAAGAAGCAGACATAATGGCTCAGAAGTGGTGGGAACACTCGGTGTGGGAGCAGACCAGTCCTGTCCCTCGGTAGGCCTGTATTTGCAGTTTTGTCAGTGTGGCCACCCAGTATTTATTTATAGCCTGCTTTTATCTGTGGCAGAACATTCAGATGCAGGCTGCTGTGGGAGTGAGGTGGGGGTGGGCCAGCCATGGGGAGAGGGAAGGGATAATTTGATTTCTGTCAGACACACACAGTGATAAAGAGCATCACGACTTTGCAGGAAGTTTGTGGCTGAGCCTCAGAGCGGGACCTGTCAGAGAGACAAGGCGGAGGCTGAGAACACCAGGTGCCCGAGCTGAGAGGGGCTTAGATCTCAGATAACCTGTCTCCGCACAGAGGCAGAGGGGCACAGGAGCCCAGAGAAGGCAGGGTCCTGCCCCACCCCCCATACACACAGCTCTCTTTGCCAGTGGCTCTGCTCCCAGCAGGCAGCCAAACTGTATTGCAAGAAACATCTGTCTGCATCCTCAGCACAGGGCTGGCAAGAGGGGTACGTGTTCAGTCAATGTCTGTAGAATAAATGAACAAACAGTGAAGGCCTCCCTGGTCCCACTGCCTTCCTGAACCCATTTTCTCCTTCATTTCACTTTAGTTATATTCTACAAATAGTTATTGAGCAGGGTTCTCCACTAGGTGGTCTAAGCTGGACCCCTGAGCCTCACCCCCACATCCAACCAGGTGAATGAGACTGTCCTGCCCTCAAGGAAGTCACCATCCAGTGCTGGAGGCTGAGGTTCCCTAATAACTGGGCCAGGTGTGGGGTGCACTGAGAGGAGCAGTGCTCTGAGCTGCACCGCCCCTTCCAGATCTATATATCCAATGGCCTTTGCAAAGAAGTCACTGGATACTGTTTTAAGAGGGAAAAATCTAGTTCTGGACCAGGTTTTACTGAGATCCACATTCTATCCCTTTTGGGGTCATTAAAAGGAAAAGGAAGGGCCTGAGGAGGCTGGGCCACATATCCTACGGGAACCACCAAGGGTGATGGAGAGAATAGGCCTGAACTTTCCCTTTGACTTCTGTCACATCTCTCCCCTTTGAGGCTGGGCTCCAGCTTCATCTGGAAACCTCTGTGCCAAGCTGGGAGGAGCTGAGCCCCCCAACAGAGTGAAGACAAAGGAAGGTACCACTCCCTGGGTGGGGCGAGGGGGATGACTCACCAGGGACAGACACTGGGCTGAGGCTGGGGCTGCCCCTCCCTCATGCGTCCGCTCAGCTGCTGTTGCCTCTTCCCCTTCCCAGTTCCGAGACTCTGAGTTTCCCCATTTAGGAGGCTACAGAGAAGGGGCCCAAAAGGCCCCACTTTGGCCTGTCCTAAAGCTGCCTGTCCCCCACCCAGGACCTGCCAACCATGGCCCTGGGGCCTCATGGAAGATCAGGAGAGGCTGATGTTCAATGGGCACTTGTTCTGTTGCGGGCACTTAGAGCTATGTATATACCTTCTAAAGAAACAAAATCAATGAATATAAGATCCTAAAAGGAAAGTGGGAAAATAGACAAAAAAAGGAAAAAAGTACTCTTAGTCTTGCACACAGAGACAACTGGTAATATTTTGCCATGTTTCCCTAAGATTATTTTACATAGGTGCAAGCATATTGTGTATGTGGTTTTGTATTCTCCCCCACCTTTTTTCCTTGTATTTTAAAATTTATTTTTAATTGTGGTAAAATGCGCCTAACAAAATTTATCATCCTGACCGTTTTAAGTGTACAGTTTAGTAGTGTTAAGTATATTTACATTGCTGTGTGACCTACCCCCATCTTTTCAACATAATTTCATTTTGAACATGTGTGGGTGTGGGTGTGATTTCCTCATCTTCAAAACACCTTTGTTAATGACCGCGCGGCCCTCCAGCTTGTGGATTTGGGGGACATGCTATGATCTATTTACCCAATCCTCTATTATTGGACATTTGGGTTACTGCTAATTGTTTACCATCTGGACAGCAATGCAATGGTAGATTTTAGTGTATCAAGGTTTTTCACTTGAGGATTATTTCCTTGGATAGATTCCCAGAAGAAGAGGCATTCCTGAGTGACAGAGGGGGGCCAGTTCTCTAGCATTTGGCACTGGCAGCCCCTTTGTGACCGCTCATAATCCTCTGGCTGGACAGGAGCCTTTTTATGCAGGAAAAAGGGACCAGAGTGGCCTGGAAGGGACCAGAAGGGTAGGGCTGGAGGGGCTCTGCTGTTAACTGAA